ACATACGGGAGCTACTCCAGCTAAGCACTGTTGTATTTGTCTGTTCACATTTTCAGCCAATAACTCACTGTGTAAAATTCCCTCCTCTCTTAAAAATACCCCATCATATACAACCACGCTTCAGATGTTTGCCTTTTTCTCCTGAGAGACTATTTATTCAATTTCCCAGTACTCAATGGACATAGATTTCTGCCTGGACTTCATATCAGTTAACTCTAGCGACTCTCATAAAATGGACTAAAACTATTTTTGCCATTTGCTTCTAGTAAAAATTCCTTTGCTCTGTATCATGTCTAGTCTTCTTTCTTTTTTCTTTTCCTTTTTTCTTTTTGTTAAACTTATCAGCACTAGAGTATCCAAATGGGGCTCAGAGGGCAGAAGGCACGAACGGATCTGAAAAGCCCATCAGAGAAGTTCAGAATCATCCCTTTGAGACTAATGTGGACGCCAACTCAAATGTTTAACAGGGATCCAGAGGGTTAGCCTCACCTGGATCTATTTTTCTAAAAGTAATGCTGGCTTTTCATTGGTGCCTTCCTAAATGAGGCTTTTCATCCTGGGAGTCAGCAGGAGGTCTGGGGCCTTGGGCAGCTGTGCTGAAAACCTTATGCTGCAGCAGTCAGACAGCCTGAAAGGCCCTGTGGTAAAGTCTGGTTTCTCCTCCAGGGAAACTTCAAAGGAGGCAGTCTGTTCTAACCATGTTGCTTCCTTAAATCAGGTTGAATCATAGGGTAGGCTGTTGTCCTCGCCTGTTTCTGGGGCATTCCAAAGCTTGCTTCCAAAAAGCTAAGAAGTAGGAAAAGGAGTGTGGGGGGTGGTGGTTGAGAGGGAATTCTACTGGAGCCGTGTAGCTACGAGTGCTGGGGTTGGTCATGAACTGGGGTTGAAACATATTAGTCCATTTCAATAGTATGGGTGCTGTGGAAATTACATGGGCACTAGAGTGTCTTAGCCTTAACTAAACATTTTCAAAAAATGCATCTTCTATACTCTAAATCCAGAGAGTAGAGTGGCAGCTCCTTTGCAGGTCAAGACTCTAAAGGGGTTGGTATACACAAAGTAAGCAAATGAGTGATAAATGACATCTTCAGGAGAAGCCTGAGGGGTGAGGCAAGTCAGAAGTCACAATATGTCAGCCCACTGGCTTATATATCCTCCACTCACCACAGTCCCCAGAGTTGTAACAAACCACAGAGGATTTCTGCTAAGTGAAATGTCCTGAACACTCAACCTGGCCTCTCAGGGGAACAGGTTCTGTGTCATCATTTGGCCTATTATATCCACAAACAACAATTCCATTTTGAGGATAATTTTTTGAAACATTTCTTCTCTCTTTGTTAGTGGAGTTTATCAACCAAGAAAATGCCACTTGGGCAGAGTGATTGTAGATAATCCAAAGCACTACATATCTCAGAAAGTAAGAAGAAATGATTTTGAAAGTTTTGACCATAACCATGCGAGAGGTGATGGACATATACTGCCTTATTGAACACTGTACAATGTATCCATGTAGCAAAACATCCCAGTATAGTATGTATAATGTTTATATTTTATATAACAAGAGAAAATATTAAAAAGAAAATGACAACTGATTATGTTTCTCTGACAGTTATTTTGGTAATCAAAGATTTATTACTCTATATCTTCCAGTTAGGCAACACTTTGTGTGACATTGTTGCTATCAGCAACAAAAAATATTTGCTAATTAATAGCCACAAAGTCTGCAAGGCTGGGTTATACAATGTATATGCACCAGGATATTGTGATTCTAGAAGAAGCCTATATGCTAAGAGATACAGCTTGGTGGTATAATAATTGCCTAGAAAGTACAGAAGACTACATTTTGCACCACAAAATAATAATAGTGATAACAAGAATTCAAACCGACTATGAGTATAAAACTTATTCTAAAAAGTGTACGGAATAACATGAGGAAGAGTTTATAAGTCATATATAAATCCTCAAAGGTTTCAGGAGGTACAATAATAAGGGCTAGACATTCAGGGATTTCTGGAGATAAAAGTCCAACCTGTTAAGATATGCGTAGTAAGTTTATTCTTATGGGGTAGAAAACAAAAATGGAGATAGTACAGATAACATGACTTTGGCATATGGATGCCTGTGTGAGAGCACATGCATGATAAAGGAGTGTATTATAGGAAAGATGGAGCCTTGGAGATTGTTATCCATGTGTTCTAAGATTTTCTAGATGTAAGTTATAGAGGATATATCAGGATGGATGAATACCAAATGATGATTTGAAAAACATACTAGTTCTGACAACTATTTCACAAAAAATAACTTCCATGACAAAAATTAATGAATTAACTAATTAATTAAATAAAAACTATACAAGTTGGGCATGATGTTTTACACTTGTAAACCCGGTACTCAGAAAGCTGGACAGCAGGATCACAAGCTTAAGGACATTGTTTCAAATACCAAAACAAAACCAGAGCTGCTACAAACTAAATTGTTCTTTTAAGCATGCAAAAGTGTATGAATCATATAAATCTGCAGACACTACTTCACATTCTCTCACAGCGGGTCTGAGGTTTTCCCCATCTTTTTGAAAGTATGATAGTTTGAGGGAACAGAGAGAGCACCCATTGTTCCAGGGAGGGAGAATGAAGATAAACTCAGGAGTAATGAAATGTAATCCATGGCTCCTGAGCAGACGGGATCATGAAGCAAGTGGCTTCATGAAAAATTAATCAAGCATGGATTGCATTCTGAAGGAAGAAAGGCAGCGAGTGGAACCTAAGATTATTCTAAATTTTTTTCTCAATTGTACCAGGAACTACAAATGCTGAAAAATTTCTTTTCTTGTTTAACTTTAATTTTTCCTTGGTAGCCAAAGACTACTTCCTTTAAATACATTACTAAATCAAACTTCCAGAAACCAAGAAAGAAGTAAAACTAAGCAAATAATTAGGAAGGAATTACTACCAGAAAAAAAAAAACAACCACTCAACAATATATGTGTCTGGCCAAAAGGTAAAAGGCTAATATCAGAAAGCTTTCTTTTCACTAGGGAAATCGGTGTGTTATTCAAATTGCCCAGTGTAGAATGATCCATAAACTATAGCATCTTGGAGTTTTCTACAACTTAGTGAAATAGATGTCATGGATTAAAACTGAACATGGGTGTCTGGTCCTAACTGCCATGGGTTTCAGTCTCATTCATAGATTTCCCAAAACTAAGAGAACTGAGATGAGAAGCCATGATTTGAGCACTGTATTCTTTGACCTACCATGTTAGAAATGTCTACACTTGCCTGGTAGCAGAAGCAATGCCTAGTCTTCATTGTCAGCTTGACTGGATTTGGAATTACCTGGGAGATATACCTCTCTGTGTATCTGTGAGGTATTACCATAGATATTAACTAAGAAGGAGAGTTCTACCCTGAATGTACCCAGCATTGCTCCATGGGTTGAGATCCTAGTCTGAAGATGAGGAGGATGCCATCTGAGCAGCATTCACATCTTTCTGTTTCATAACTATGTATACAATATGACCAGCTTTCTCCAATTCCCACAACCAGAGCTTCCTTTGAGTGAAGAATGATACACTCAAACTAAGAGCCAAGAATAACACCCTGTTTTCAATAAGGAGTGTTTGCCAAGTATTTCATCATACCAATAAGAAGAATAAGTAAGCCCCAGCCCTTTCAGTAAGTTAGTATGAGGCACTCTATTCAAATCCCTACTGTCCTTACTAGTTCCTTCTCCTTTCAAGGGGAGACTTGAGCTAGCCATGTTCATTCTCTAAGAATGAATTCTTGTCCTTCTGGAATGAACATTGGCCATGACTCTACATTAGATGGGATTTGGTATTATCTGTCTATTCTGGGGTCTATTTTAATAGTCACTCCTCATCTTCCTTTTACTTTTTCTTTCTAGCTACTACCACTTTTCACAGCATAATCTATGATGCTTCTTTGGACATCACCATAAGTTTTTCAGAAACAAAAGTGATCAATGTCTTAACATGATCATAGACAAAGAGCCCAATGTTGTAGATTAAGCAGCCTGGTGTCTGTTTGTTGTTGAGGAAAATCAAGATTGTGATGAAGGAATGTCCTCACAATGAAGACTACCATGTTTGCCATACCTGGTCACAGTCCCCACACACTGAAGGCTGGAACTGGGCACATTACCACCTGTAAGCAATGTTTCCCTGAGCAAATAGTTAAGATTTATAGCTGGGCATTTGTGAGGAGAGAGTGGTAGAAAAGGAATGTACAAATGGCTGGACAGCCCAGCCCCTACCTGCCCATTTCCAAAGCATGGACTACTGATTTTGAAAGTGTAATAAAAAGAGGAAGAGGAAGTCCTACCTTAAATGTTCAAATGTATGAGCAAGTCTTTTGTCACTTCATCTTATTTTCTGGGACATGTTTCATCTTATTCTAATTAAAGCCTTTAAAGGAATACTATGTTAAGTAAAAGTTCATCTCTCACTACTTAAAACAATCCATCAATAGCTGGAAAGAAAACTTTTTCAGGTTATTAAAATTATTTGTTTTTATTAACAGTCAGTTCTCTTTGGATATCATAAAAGCTTAAGATACAGATATATATTTGTATATTTTAATGCTTCTTTTGTAAGTCACAATAAAACAAAGATGCTAGGCTTTATTTATATTATATATTTTCTGGGAGGAAATCTGACTTTATTAAAGAAAACAACTTTAGAAGCCAACTTTGCTAGAACAAAATTTTTTTATGTAACAAAAGACTTAGAGATACCATGTGTCAAATAATTTCATCTGGATGTTCAACGTAACCAAATTCAAGAACACAAAACAATCTGAAATAACCCTCTGGGGTTCCTGGGTAGAATTTGACATGCATTTTCAGTCTTTCTGAGTCACAGAAAATAAATTCATGAAAGAATCTTGTATTTTTCCAGTTAACTGTAACCTATCCCCCACCCATTTGACAGCTACAACAACAACAACAAAGTCACAAACACCATCAAATGTTAAATCACTTACCATAAATGCCTGTTGAAATGCAGGGAAATGCCTGTGAATAAACCACAGAAATAACAGTAAATTTTAAAAGAACAGCTTTGTTCAACATCATCATATAGACTTCTATTGTGCTTGACAGTGGAATTGCTTCCATTTATAAAGTTAGCTCAGACCTATGAGTTCAAGTGTTTAGATCAACTTACAAGGCACAGATGTTAAATGTTCAGGATTCTCATAAGGCAATCGTTCAGGGGAAGCAAGGTTTGACTGCCACTAACCCCCCTAAAAGTTCTTCAGGTAAACTGTCTAATGCATATCAATAGGGAAAACTCAACATATACGTAATTCAAGATTTTTATGGCATTGACAGTTTCATAAGGAAGGAGTTAGAATTGAATGCTCAGTATGTATTGAGTTAAATAAAGAATAGAGACTAGGGGGGGTGACAAGGCAAGGGACTTGGTCAAAGGGTCGCTGTGTAGAGTGAGGATAGAAAAAAACAGGGTCATGTAACAAAGATCATTTGTACAGAGATTCCTTGATCTCAAATTCCTGTCCTTGACATGAGGAGGGCACCTTCAGATTGGCCCCAACTAGACATCTCTTATCACCAAATAAAACCTGATATTACATCTATTCCAGTTGTTGGCCAAATGGCCATGGATATCCCCATACAACACAGGGTATTGTCAATACTCTTGGATAGTCTCCATAAACTGACCATAAGGCCCCATTGCTGAAGACAATAAAAATATAATTCATTGAACATGGAGAAGTCAAGCTGATGCTGACTTAGAACCTTCACCTCTACTGAGTAGTATTCAAGGTACTAGGCAGTACTCTGCAGGCTGCCAGAGGAGAAAGGTAAACACTAAACACCTGCACATCTTTGATCTACAATGGTGACCTGCATGCAAAATACATTGTTGCCATAGGGGCACAAAACCATTATCTGATTGAATTTAAGGCCCACTTCATGAGCAGGAACCCATACCTGATACTGCTTGGGTGACCAAGAACCTGAGACTAGATAGGCCAGGGACAGGAAACAAGTCAAAACACTACTGTCATGCTAAAGTAATGTACTTTAAAGCAATAAACTGACTAACAACCTTATGGTATGCTCATAGATCACTGTCTTTCTCAGCCATCCTCAGAGAAGCATTGTCCTACAGCAGTTGGGAAGAAATACAGAGCAGCCACAGTGAGATAATGTGCAAAGTGAGAGACCTTGGAGCACTTAAGTTCTAAATGAGATGTTTCCAATAAATCCCTCCCCTTCGAGCTCAGAAAGAGGAGGCAGGAAGATTGTAAAAGCCAGTGAGGATGGGGTACACAACAGAAACAAGGCCCTTCAAATACAGGAGGAGTGGCTAAGGAACTCACAGGGACTCTAGCAGCATGCACAGGGACTGCACAGGACAATGGGGTCCCAGAGCTGGGAGGGGAGGTCAATACAACCCTGTTCCTAACCCAGACTATTCCCAATTGATAACCACTCACAAAGAAAAATTAGTTTTCTCCAATGGAGTCTTCATAGGGATACAAACTTCTCTAAAGGACAGACTATATGCCCAGACAACATAAAACAAACTCTGGAGTTTGCCTGTCTCATACTGCTTTCTCTGGGATTCTCTTTACTTTTTCTTCTGTGTCTTGTTTTGTTTTCTTTTCTCTTTTCTATGATTTTCCCTAACAGGTCATTTGAGTATATATGATGATTTCTAGTGTTATATTTTTATGGGATTTTATGCATGTGAATGTATGTCTTTGTGCTTTTAATTGATTCCTTTTTTTTTCCGGGTAACCTGTTTGCTTTGTTCAATATTCCTATTTGTTTGTTTCTTCCTCTAAACTAATGTTACATTATTTTACTAAAGTTTTAGGTAACTGTTTGAATCCTAATAAGGAAAGCATGTGGATTTGGGCGGGTGGGGAGCCAGGATCACATAAAAGGGATTGGAGAAGGAGAAACTATAATCAGAATACACTGCATGAAAAAAGTCTATTTTCAATAAAAAAAAAAGAAGAACATAAAGGATCCTGTCTCCAGCTTCTGCAATTGTACTCTCTCTTTGCTTCTGTCTCCACTCAGAATGGTCAGTAGTGTAGCAGGGGGTATTTGCGGTAGCAAGTTGTAAACTTCCAGGGGAAAGAAGACACGACTATTTCTACAAGCAAGTGCTTTATATTCCACATTTTGTCCTCCTCCACTTCATGATTGGAGCAATTCATTTAACTGCTCTGAAGGTCAGTTTCCTCACTGGCAAAGGAAAACTTGAGGCATGCCTTCAAAGGCTTGTCGGAATATTAAGAGGGAAAAGTGTCTGAGAAGCTATATGTTCACTAATGATGACATCAAGAGTAGATACAGTGATGCCCAGCAGGTTGTTTCAAAGGACTTACTGGCCTAGACCCTGCCTTGCTTATCTCAGCACTATTGATGCTTTGAATCATACTCTTATCTCTTCTTGGAGGCTGTCCTGTGCATGTTTGGAGTATCCCTGGACACAACCAACTATAGTCGAGGGGCACTGCTCTAGTCATAATGATAAATAGTTAGATAGTCAAATGTTCCTTAAGGGACAAATCACTCCTCTTTGAGGACCATGATCTAGAGTGCTTTCAGAAGATAGTCTTTCATGAAAAGACTTTTCAGGGACTGTTTTGGCTCCAAAACGATATCAAACTCAGAACCTTGACCCTTTGAGGGCAGCCTACACCAGTTACAGATCGATGAAGGGTAGAAAGGCCTGGACATCTTGGCTTCCTCAATGTAATAAGGTAATAATGAAAGGCTTGTATCAGAGGCCTGCATGGTGTCAGCAGGACCTGGCATTGGGCCTGCCTCCCACCTTTCCCTTAGTCTACTGCAGTTTCTTTACCTCGCTCTTCCCTGAAGTACTTGTTAACAGACATTTGGCATGCTCACTGTGACTCAGAGTCTGTTTCCTGGAGAATTCATCTGAACTAACTGCCTTCCACTTCACTCTCAAGTCCAGTTACACGAATCATTTCCCCATCAGATCTAGCAGAAGAGAGAAGGCACTAGACAGAGAAGGGTAAGTGTTATTTGCCTGGGCTACAGTCCTCTCTTGGAATCAATCATGCAACTGTCTAAGTAAATCTGAGTGTACGAAATGCCTTGTCTGTTTTAACAAGGAGAAATAGCTTCATCCACAAATGACATTGTTGCCTTAAGTGAGAAGGGAAATGATAATGTAATGGGGGATGACTTTGGTAATATTATTGTGTTAGCTCAAAGAGACAGTGATAAAGCAGAGATGGAAATGTAATGGCATGCAAAATTTATGTTATATAAAATAACTTTGAACATAATTCATGTAAACCAAATTTCCACCATTAATCATACTTTATTGCATAAGAGGATGATGGAGAGAAAAAAGAAGAGGGGAGAGAGAGAG